AGCCAGCCCACCGAGACCACGGAGCCCACCTGCCCGAGGAGCCGGGTCACGGCTCAGCATCGCCACGGGATGGGGCACCCACAGGGTGTCCGCCGCCCCACAGCCCTTCCCAGGGTGCCCAGGGAAAGCCACAGCCCTGGGGCCAAGGGTCTTGCTCCGGTCCTTGGATGGCAAGAAGCCGCCATCCGGGAGCAGCGATGGGGACAGGGCACTGCAGCACCAGGGTTCCCACAGCCACTTGGCAGAGCCCAGGGCTCCATCAAAGGCGTTTTGTTCTCCCATCACCTCCTCAAGTGCTTTTGTTCTCCCATCACCTCCTCAAGTGCCCCCCTCACCCAGGGACTGCCCCCAGCCCTGGGCAGCCGCTGCCACCCCACGTCGAGACGCAAAGGGCAGAGCCGGGCCCTGAAGGCCGGCCAGCAGTCTGGTTTGGGACCTCCTGCACAGCTCAGCCTTATTCGCACCAGGATTTGGGGGGAGCTGAGCTTGCTGGCACCAGCCCCTCCTCCCCACCCCACCTACCTTGCAGTGGGTCGTGCTGATGGGGAGGCCGACATTGGAGGCGATCACCACCGTCAGGGCAGACGCCAGCTCGATGCTGAAGCCGCTGCAGAGACAGAAAGCGCATGGGAACCCGGGCGCGGACCCCCCGTGCCGCCCGGCTCTGGCTCAGCCTGAGCCAGGCCCGGACTGCTCTCCCAGGCAGACCCTGCACAGCGGAGTCAACTCCTCGGCTCTCCAGAGCCCCAGACTGAACCCCCAAGGGATGCAGGGAGTGTTATGGGGCCACGCACACCCCAGCTCCACCACCCAAGCAATGAAACCCCCAAAGAGAGCGTGGAGAGGGGCTCCAGGAGCAGGATGCAGCTCTAGGACTGCCTGCAGCCCCCACCTGCCCCAAGGCAGCCCTTACCTCGATGGTGTGATGGGAGTCAGGTCCTTCCCCATCGTCTGGATGACTCTCCTTCCCCAGACCCACAAGCCAATGCAAATCCCTGCACCTCCATAGAGGAGCAGCCAGATGGGAGTTGCCACCTTGGTAGCCACATCACCCGTCTGATAGACCAGGTAGAGCGCGACCAGGGGCCCAATGGCATTGCTGGAAGGGAAAGGAGAGCTGATCTAGAGGGCCAGAGGCTCTGGGCAAGGTGGGCACCATGGGCACCAGCCCCAGCAAGCTGCCCCACAGCTCCTGCCGACCCAACCGACCTGACATCATTGCCGCCATGAGCGAAGGAGCCAAAGCAGGCTGTGAGGATCTGCAGGAACTGGAAGAGGAGGGACACCTCTGGTTTGTCCTGGTCAGGCCACTCTTCCAAGCAGCCACTGCTGCCCTTGCAGTCGCCGACTCCCATCTCCACCTGGGCCGTGTTCAGATCCACATCAGCAGCCGGGTGGGCATCCGCCACTGCGTTGCAGTAGCTGGTGTAGCTGTCCATGCGGACCCTCTTCTTGGTGTCCGCCACGGGCCAGGTCAGCTTCTCCATCTCCTCCCCTTCCTTGGCACGGAGGGAGTCCAGGGGCATGCCGCAGATGGCCATGGTGTAGGAGGTGTAGCTGTTGTTGCGCCGCAGGGGCTTGTCCCCCGAGTCCCCCATGCAGTCCCCCACCTTGGCCAGGTGCAGTTTGTGCAGCAGCTCCTTGTAGAGGCCGGAGTCCTTGTGCACGGTGTGGTACTGGTACTGCCCGCTGGAGCTCATCTGGTGGCCCACGGCCTGGTTGAACTGGACGAGGTTGCCGTTGGGCAGCCGCACCGCTGCTGCCAAGAGAGATTGCAGCGGTTTAGCACCCAGGGGTACCTGGGGTGGGGGGGATGACCCTGGCACCCCCATATCGCCCACCACCACTCACCACTGTCAATGCTGGTTTCCTTCAGGTCGAGGTTTGGGAGCCTCTCTTGCTCTGGGGCCTCCTCCAGGTCCCCCAGGTTGAAGGAGACAGTCCTCTCCTCCAGCGCTGCTTGGTGGGGCGCAGCTGACCCCGCGTCAGCAACGGGGCTCTTGGCATCGCCCAGGGGCACCTTGGGCTCCTCGTGGTCCTCCTTCGGGCTGATGTTCTTCTCCATCAAGGGGCTTTCGGAAGGACTGGATTTGATCTCTTCTGTGCAGAGAGGCAGCTGCCATCAAACCCCTTCCCACCACCACACCCAACACCAAGAGCAAGCCCACACCCCTCACCACTCAGATTTATGGAGCCAAATAAAAATTTACAGCTTCCCCCCCAATCCTGAACTTTGGAAACTGCTGGGCAGTCGTACCTTGTCCAGGCACAACAGCCAAACCATCACAAGCCAGCTCATCTCCTATTTTTAGACCCCACCCACCCACACGGGGTGTGGTGAGCACCATTATGGGGCTTTTATGCCCGTTCTTCCTATGGCAGAGGTTCCTCTTCGAGCCATGTTTGTCCCATCCCCATTCCCGGTGGCCGTGGGATGCTCTGGACCTGCTTCTGAGGTGGTTGTGACCCCTGAAGCTGATGGGAAGGTGCCCAGAAGAGCCAAGCTCCTCTGCCAGCCCATCAGCTCCAGCCTGCCAGGACGACTCGCCCACCTGGGCTCCTCTCCAGCTCCCACTGGTGGGTGACAAACCCAAACAGGAGCTGGTCTCCGCCTCCCAAGGGCGGCCTGGTTTCCTGTGCCACTGGAAGAGCCAAGCCAGCAGCACCAAGCCCTGGAAACTGAGGCTGTTACTCCCCCTCTACCGGGAAAAGCATGTTTTCTCCAGGTGAAAACATGAGGTCAGCTCCTTCAGACAACAACAAAAACCACCTCCTTGTCACAAACTTGACCATTTCCCAGCCAGTTTGCTCGCTGCAAGGGCCAGGCTGCAGCACCCAGCCCCTCACCCTGGCGTCAGGCCCCTGCAGAGCTCATCTCCCCCCCATCGCCACCTTCTCCCAGCGATGCTCTCCGGCGGGCAGGCTGCCTTAAGCAGGCAGGGGAGCCTGTCGGGCAGGCAGGGGAGCCTGCCTTGCAGGCAGGAGTTAAGCCAAAGCTCAAACAGCTGGAAAAATGTCAAGGGCAGCTATAAAGCTGTTAGTCACACCCCAATTACACCAGTCTGACAAGGACACTGGTTATCCCCTCATCTCCAGTTCCTGAGGTGGCCCAGACTGCACACAGCATTTATATGCAAGACCACACACAACTCCAGGAGAGCTGCCTGTACTTTTTGGGAGGCAGAGCTCGGGACTGCTCTTTTGGATGCCTTTCAATTCAGTTTTTTTTTTTCCCCCTACAGGGAAAGGATTTCATCAGCTTACACAGCTTTAAACTTGTGATCTGCATCTGCCAGGCCAAAGATTGATCAGCAGGTATGCAGAGGATTAAAGGTTACACCAGTTAACAGGCAGGTTGTCTCCTGCCTTCTCTTCCTCTCTATTAAACAGTGAAATCAGGCTGTTTAATATTGCCTGCTGTCCCGTGCAGTTCAAGGAGAGATCGCCCTGCTCAGAAATCATCTGCCAGACACCACTCGGCAGCACAAGGGCTACTTTGAAGAGTATTTTGGGGTGCCAGGGAGCAGCTTTTTGGTGCTGCTGCGGGTTAGGAGCATGCAGGGTGCAGCTCAACGAGATGTGCCCCAGTGACTCAGGGTTTACAGAGCAGCTTAAGTGATAACTGAAGCTGAGGATCCCTGCTAATAACAGCCCTGCGGCTAATGAGATCTCCCGCTGGGAAAAGAACTTGGTTAGTCCGAGCATGCCCTTCCCCAAAGGATTGCAGAGAGAGAGGCGTTACTTACGTTCGATTTTGTTCTTCATTCTCGGACATACAAAGAACCAGACGACGAGAGCACAGACAACAGCACTCCCCGCCGAAATTAGGAGGATACCCCACAGAGGAAGTTTGTCAAAGCCCAGCACTAGGAAATAAAACAACGGATCTTTGAAAACCTCCGGGTAAAAGCCTCCTCAACGTATGACTTTGCTCTTCCCGGCACAGGGACTCCATCACCTGCAACATCCCTGAGCTAATTCGCCCGCTGGGGAAAAACCATCGGAAAGCCATCGCTGACCGCACTGAAACCGAGAGCTTAACCCACACAGAAGCCCCCCCCATTACAAGCTAATCTTTCACATGTGCAGACACCTTCCCCTCCCTCCCGCAGCCAAACCCGATCGGGGACCGGCATGTGCCCTGAGCAGGGACAAGAGGCTCCTCACAACCATTGTCTCCTCACTTGCTGCAATGTCAAAGAAAAAAAAAAAGCCATCCAGCATGGCTGCTGCAGCAACAGCGCCGCTTCTGCCGGTCGGGGAGAGGACACGCAGGGCCTGGGCTGCTCCCACCGGAGAGCCCCACATCTCCATTAACTCCTCCAGCTGCTGGGGGAAAGATGGCTCTCCTGCTCCACGAGTCCCTAGGAACTTAAGCTCAAGTTTCAAGGCATCCGAGGTGTTACGTGACCCAGTTACAAGCATTTTCACATGCAGCATGACTTTTAGCAGAGGTTTTGCATTATACAGCCTGCTGCAGCCCTCGGTCAGGGTATCAGATGCTTGCGACCACTCAACTCCTGCGTTTTCTGCTGCAGGCAATAACTTACTGCTCCTAATGCACCACCAGCAACATCACAGCCACTTTATCCACGCATCTGGCTACTTGCTTACGCCAAGCCTGGCCTGCTGAAGGCTACAAACCCTGCACTCGAGCAACACAGTGCTCACCCAGCCCTCCTGCAGCTGAGGACTCAGGATAAACACGAATCCAGCTCAGAGGTGCCAAGTGATCAAGTGATCTTGGAGCAGCACCGCTGCTGCTTCGCAGCCCCAGTGCCCCCAGCAGCACCACAGCAACCTTGCTTTCTTCCCCAGGCTGGAAAGCCAAGGGAAGGGGAAGCTGACATCCCTCCAAAAATTTTTCCAGCCACTGTTTACAGAGAAAACCCTGTGGAGAAAGCACTGACTGCCCTCACCCCACCTCCAGCAACTCCTCCACAACAGGAAACCCATGCTCAGACTGAAAACAGCTCATGCCGAGTCACCCCGGCGGATAGAGGTTACGGAGCCTCCAGCTCTGCAGGCAAAGCCGCCCTCCCCTGCCAGGCCCTCTCCTAGTCCTGCCCGTGACCTGTGCCCCAACACAACAGCCAAACAAGCATTTCCATTTGGCTTCTCAAACTGAAGTACAAACTGCTCTTCTCAGTACAGGTGCCAACTCTTCTTGCCAGGGATAGTTTATTCTTAGGGACAAGGTGAATCAGGAGGCACAGCCTCCATCCCTGCTCCTAGCCTCGCTACCGGCAGCCCAAGGAGTCTCTTCAGCAGCAGCCGGGTACCTGAGTTTTAGCACAGGTAAAAGAAGGGAAGGGGAAGTCATGTTATCTGCCAGTCCTGTGAAGTCTAAGGAGAAAGGTCTGGAGAGGTTTAGTTTGAGCAGGTCTCTTTGGTTGGGCAACTATCTAGCCCAGAACTCAGCGCACGCTAGCCTGCAGCCTTCTGTAACCGGCACAGGCCAGCCGCCTTCTAGGAGATTTCAGCCCTGTAAAGCAAAAAAGGGGTAAATCGTGCATTTAATGGAGGTTTTGTAAAGAATTTAAAAATTAAGGTTCACGTATTCTGACGCGTACTTACAAGGTGCACCGGTATACATGATGGAGAAGAGGTTGATGCCCACGGTACAGGCATAGAAGATAGGCAGAGCTCGCAAGCCATTGGGAACGGGATCTGCCTGCAAAACAAGGATCAGTGCTGCAGAAAGCCAGACCCTGAGGGCTGTGCAGCAGCCGAGGAGCAGACGAGCAACAGCCCTTTCCCAAAAGGGGGTTTGTGCCTCTGGTCAACTGCTGAGCAAGAGCTCCCAACCGCTTTTAGAGAATAAGCCACGGGGCTCCGTCAGACACCCCCAGCAGTCTAGGGGCAGAGGAGGTGGCAGAACACCATGGGCCCCACGCGGCTCCCCAGGGAGCCAGGGCAGGACCAGCCAAGCGTCCCACCGCTCCCCAGGCCGGAGCATCTCATCTGTGCCAGCAGCCAGGAGCCACCTGGCTCCCAAACCCTTCCCGAGGGTCCCCAGCCCGCCGACCTCCACAGCCTCCAGCTGCACGTATGTTTTCTTTCAAATCCCCAGGCACTTTCGGACAAAACCATTTGTCAGACAAAGCTTTTACCTTTTTCCAGCTGACTTGGACAAAATAGAAAAGTCCATTACTCACAAAGCAGCTTATTTGACCACATACCTGCACAGAGAGGCCCTCACCCGAGCAGCAGGAGCACTTAATCTCCGCTGCTGCCCAGCAATCAGGGTCTAGTGTCGGTACAAACACACCGAGCGTTACCAAATGCCGAGCAGGACAGAGTAACTGGGCTATTCAGTGCCAGAACGAAGCGTGATGGGGCCAGCCCAGCTTTGAAAGGCCAGTTACGCAAGGTTACTCTGACAGCAGTGACGCTGAATTGTTTTAAAGGGCTGCCAGGTAGAAACCAGCAGCGATAAGATCTTAATATCTCTTGAATCAGAAATAGTTAGAGCCAAGACCTAAAATAATTTAAGTTAACCTCAAATATGCAGACAAGAATGCTGGAGGTCCTCTGTACAGCTGGCTGGATACCCTTGCTCTGGGCTGGCAGCACCCTGCGCTCTAGGGTCATCATCATCATCTCAAAGATGAGGTCTAAAGCTGCCACCTCCATTTCAAGCACCTTTGGGTGCCCAATTCCTCTTCCTGGGCTTTCAGACACTCCAACAGTGGGAGCATGTCCCTGGAGCCAGCCCAAGCACCCCTCACTTTACCTGGGGCCCCAGAGGGGAGGAAAGCGCAGTTTCCACAGCACCAGGGACAATTCTGGCCCTCCTGGCTTAAAAAGAAAGCCACTGCTGTTGGTCATGGCCTTCATCTGCAGCCTGACACAAGAGGAGGTCCAGCCTTGCACCAGGACTTAGGAAAAGCCTGATGAGAAGCTCTAATCTTATCAATTCTGGGCTACTTCACTGCTTGGAAAGTGCAGCTGTTTCTGCTGGGGCCAGGCAGGACACTCCTGAAGCCTCCTCACCTCCCAGGCTCCGTTTTGTGGAGTGGCTACAGGTCTAGTTTTCCCACCCCTTCAGCTCCTCCTGAAGGGTTCACCCACGCGTCTACACAAGGATGGATGTGCCTGTAGAACACCTAAGCCAACCAACCAGTCCAAGGGGCAGATGAGGGAGCACCCAGGAGCCCCAAGGTGTCAGAACATGGGGTGAACAGCCCTTACCTTAGAGAGGATGAATCTCTGAACAAGGAAAAACAGGATAGCAGACATGATGCCAGAAAGGAGGGGTGAGATGAACCAGGACAACACTAGGAGAGAAGAGGCACCATCAGCATCCTGCTGCTGGGAGGTGAAGCCCTGGGGACACACCGCTGCCATGCACAGGGGTGGTCACGCAAGCTGGACTCACCAATCTTTAGAAGCTCAGACCATTTGACACCTTCTTGCCCTTGTGCCACCAGCGAAAAGCCGATGGTTGCTCCAACGATGCAGTGGGTACCAGAAATGGGGAGCTTCAAGAACGAAGCCGCTAGCTGCCACACAGCAGATCCTGGAGGAGAGGGAGAAGCCTGGTAAGAAAGCTGTCACCGGGGCACCGTGGGGCACACCACCCCCCCACCTCGACTCCCCCGTTCCTCACCGAACATGGCGCTGATCGAACCCGCCATCAGCAGGTGCTGCGTGGAGTTGTACATCGTCAC